CTTTAAAAACACATACAATGGGGTATATAGTGTAGAATAAATATGAATGTCTGTGCTTGATGTCAGGCATTTAATGAAAAACCGATTAAAAAAAAACTACAGACAGGACAGAACCGGAAGTGCTACAACCCTCAGTGTTTTGGCTTACAAAAATACATCAACCCTGCACCACTCTATGCCAAGGTCTTAGGTTCAATTCCCAGGTAAAGCAAGAACTGAATATGTACCTTGAAATTGCTTTGGATAAAAGCATCTGCCAAATGCATGGACGTAGGATTAAATGTAAATTAATTTATTATTATGAGATTTTCAGTTACAAATTTTTGTTGTAATTGATTGGCAGTGCGTCCGCGCATACACGCGTTGCGCCAGGTTTGACGTAAAACCTCAAACCCCATTGGTTCTCGCAGTTCACGTGACCGATCTAGACGCGCCATATTTGAATGTACTCAGGCGGGAAGAAAATTCCACAGCGTGGTCAACGGAAGGAGTATTTTCAGTGTATAACAACTCTTATATTTACTCACTACACAAAACTACTTTGTTTTAAAAGGGATATTCTGAAAGTCATCGACTGGAGGGTGAGTAAATTACATCATTGTGCAAATGTTAGATGAATACCAACAAGCTTTAGAGATAAAGCTGTAAGCTGACTGCAGTGCCATAACAGAAGGACTGGTAAAGCACAATAGTCTGTGCAGCTCTTAAGGTTGAGTTGTAATATGTGAAGAATGAAGTCACTCAGTCATTTCTAATTGTTTGTGAACGCTGTCGTAACCGTCACATGAGGGATACAGATTTGATTAGAAAAAAAACCCAGAGCTCGAGAAATACATTGTCCACGAGAGGGCAGCCTTAAACAGGCTTGACCCAACATGTCAAATGACTAAATCTGGATGGAAATAGTGTTTTCTCTCTGGTTGGTCTCAGAAACATGTACCCCTAACTATGAGGGGAGATCTTCATCCTCCTCTCAGCTCCAGAGCACAGCATCAAAGACACCTTTCATCCTTCATCTGCACACCTCTGATCTCAGGCATATTAAGTGTTCCTGTTACCGTCCACATTCATTTTCTGGTTCAGGGTCAGGTTGCCATCATGGTTCATACTGTATATTTTCAGACTTAATTTTGAATTGGTTCTTGGTCCGATGCAGTGAGTTAGTGATCACTTTATAGGAGGTCCAGTTCAAGCATTTCTCACTGTTTTGAATTGTGGGAATTGCGTTATAGAGGTGTGAAATGAAATGCACTTGAAGAACAGTTGATTAAAAATGTCATACATATTTAAATTGGAAAAAATAGGGCACAGTAGACACACCACTTGCTGTAACGCATCTGCAAAGTTTATTGACAGTCATATTTGACTCAGACATAACAAAGCTTCATAAACTGATCACAGATTTAAAGAAGAAAACAAATCTGAACATGGGTTTGCGTCAAAAACTGAATGCCACAATAAGCGGAGACATTTTTCGTGACTAAATCACTACTGACCTCATGGACTCTATGAATCAATGATTCAATTAACAGCCCTTGAATGAACCCTAGCTGGGAAAGATGAATCATACCTCTTTGATTCAATATTAGATTGGTCCCGCTGTTCACCAATGGGTAATGAGTGAAGGAAACACACTGGAAACAACAATTACAAGAATAAAGAAAAGCAATTCTAATCATTTCTTGAAACATGTATATATAATAAGATAAAAAAGCTTCTGTTTTCACCACCATTGAAAAAATATTCAGATCTTATCAATATTGAAATTATTTAAGGTTGGGGTGATAATTTATGCAATCCCTGATCCCATTTGTGGTTACTTTACAAAACATCAAAACTTCTTTTTTTTTCCTGAAACAAACAAAATTATTGGCCAGTGTGCGAATATGGCTGTTTTCATTATATCTAGAGCTTTGATTAAAAATAATTCAAAACAGGAAAGGTAAATGACATCCGATTCACACATCGTACTCTACACACGGTACATAAATAAAGTACATTACAGGGTCGACAACAATCAAAAGTGATTCCAACTGTGGCGTGTGGGTAAGGACAGAAACACAATGATTGCCCTTATATTACACCCTAAACTGTGCAAAAGTCATACATTTCAAAACTGGGTGGAAAGAAAAATAAATTCGGGGGAATATTGATGATCTTTTAAAATGACTGAAATTTACAGAAAAAGTGCAAAGAGTTTTTTCATGAAAAACTTGGGTCAATTTGTCTTCCAAAAATCTTAATGAAAGCTCTAAACACAAATATTGGGCCTTCAGGACATTTCCAGAACTGTATGAACCCTGATGGGTGTACTGCTCAGTTCAGCATGTTGGGTACAAGAAAACCAGCACAAAATTCAAGAAACACACTTCCGTATAAACCACTGAGGACTGACACGCAAACTGTACAATCATAATTTTCGGTCCAATAATTAAAACAAGAGGGGAAAAAACGATAATAAAAACAAAGCTATAGCAACACCTCAGATACAGCTATTCTAATAGGTTCCTCTAATTAACATAAATTAACATTCAAAAGTGAATCACCACTCCAAACAATAGAGTAAAACTCTGAACTGAATTTCCTGTCAAGAGTGACAGGACATTTTCTCGACACGGTGTTAGCATTGCCTGAAGGAGAGCTGGCTAATACTAATAGCAGCATGAATTTAAGCGCCAGTCATCACGATTGCTTTACACAAGCAACTTGCTAATTATGAACAATATTAGCCTGCAGTCCATTGTAGTTCACTGAAATTGCTCTTGAACACAAATGCACATAATCATGTCCTCTTTTGCTTATTTCCCATAAATTGTAAAATATGATCTGGGTTTTTATAAAACTGAGACTTTTCCAGCTGTTGATGTGGATCATAGATTGTGTGGGATATTGAAGTGACGTTTGTAGGGGATCTAGAACCAAAAATCAAACCTGCTCCTGCTGTCCGCTGACCTGAATATTATTATTTTTTATTTAAATCAGCTTAAATTAAAGGTACTATACATACTACTCTAAATACAATTTCAACTATATACCATCATTATTATTATCATTATTATTTTTCAGTATGCAGACTACGCACCTCAATGGACTTTTTTATTTTTTATTTAGAGGGAATATTTGCTTAATTTTCATGAATAATGTCAATGCAAATATTGAATTGTCTTGAAAACAATTTTTTTTAGGTGAAATATGACATTCTTGGCAGGCTTTGTGACATTCATCTAAGCATTTCACCTTTACAATATAAAACTGTATTAACTTCATCAATCTCTCAGTGAGATAAGAGATGTAGTTCACCTCTCAATGGCCCTTTCTCCTAGAACATCCAATCAACTATGTTTTACAGCAACAGGACTTTCTATACCTTAATTGTCCTTAATAAATAACCCTGAGAAGCTGTTTGGACACAGTTTGTAAAGATCCAAAAGAGACCTCTGCTGTCAAATGCTACTTTTAAAGGGGTCATGAACTGAGAAATCATCGTATAAGAGGTCATCGTACTATAAAAACATCTTGTAAGTTTCAGAACTCAAAACTTTCTCATTAGTCTAAAAACAGCTTATATTAAAGCCAATCTGCCAAAAATGACAGCTTGAGGAATGTGCTGCTCTATGACATAATAAAGCGGGTAAACCTCCACAGAAGATCAATGCCTGCTTCCACATCACTGCCTGTTTAGCTCCGCCCACTGATTCGCACATGTAGTGTAAATAACGAGAGAGACAAACGCAGGTCTACACAGAAACCAAACGATAAAGATGGCTCCGAAGACAACAAGATGCTGTGCAGTGCCAAATTGTGGACAAACACAGCCGTTGCATAACCTTCCATTGGATCCCAACATTAGGAAAGAGTGGATTAGCTTAGCTGGAATTTAAAGAAATTCCAGACTGCGTCAGTAAAAAGGTTGGTCGTTTGTTCACTTCATTTCACCACGGATTCGTTTACAAACAAGGCACAATTCGACGCCGGACTTGCTGAAAGATTGACTATATTGGATCCAACATAATGTTGCACCACACAAGTGTGAGTAACTGTTTTTATTACGTGATCACTATTGCTTTGTCTGTTATTACAGATCGTTTGATATGAACTGAGTATTTGTGTTTTTTTACCTAAATCACAGTAGCGTCTATCTATGAAGGATGTAGCTGTCAAACATACACAACTGTTAGCCAATCATAGTAGTGGACGTTTACTTCTGAGTCTACAATCCGCCACGCCTATTCAAACAGAGCGTTCTGATGAGGGGGGTCAAAACTGGACAGAAAATAGCCTATTACTGCTAAAATATTGTTTTTTTTTAATGTAAAAATCTTGAAACAGTACAAAATAATAAAAAAAAAAGACAGTTCATGACCCCTTTAATATGATTTTGGGGTTGAGTCAAAAAGAAATTTATAATCTTTTTGACCCATTTTTTTTTTCTTTCTCCGCACCAGCAAGAACACTGAGCCAGCCTTTTTTCCAAACATATTCCATTCCAGTTTGCTATTTCATCAGTGGCCTGCACTCACTATTATCCCCATACACACCATTTTTGGCCTACAGAAACTGTCGGTGGTGGGGTGCTGGGAGAAATATGGATTAAATGGGCAAATCAAATATCATCTCAGCACAAATTACTCTTTCATTGGTTAATGCCTCAAGGCTGTTTTCCTTCTTCCTAGATTTTGCTCTTCCATGGCAACATTGCAATTGCTTTCACAAAAAAACACTTTTTGTGAATTGCTTTCACAAAAAAAGAGTGTGCGTGTTCCGATCGACAGTCAAGAACAAGTTCACAGTAAATCAAGGTTTGATTAGGCCAACATGTTTTCGGGTCGTGAGATGAGGTGCTCTATTTAACCGCACTTCTCTGTGGCGATTACATTTCCCAGCACCGTTGGATCAATTAAGATATTCAATATTAATGTTCTTTAAATGAGTTTCCATGGCAACATTGCAATTGCTTTCACAAAAAAACACTTTTTGTGAATTGCTTTCAAAAAAAGAGTGTGCGTGTTCCGATCGACAGTCAAGAACAAGTTCACAGTAAATCAAGGTTTGATTAGGCCAACATGTTTTCGGGTCGTGAGATGAGGTGCTCTATTTAACCGCACTTCTCTGTGGCGATTACATTTCCCAGCACCGTTGGATCAATTAAGATATTCAATATTAATGTTCTTTAAATGAGTTGTTATATAACTGTATATATGTATATCTGCCACATGACTCATTGGTTAATCATTCCTGTGTATTTTTACAAATTATATCTCTTTAATTACACCAAAATGTCCTGCTTGTAGAACGCACGCATAAGCGAAATTATAGCGGAGCATTAGCTGACTTCACCTGCTACCTGCCAAAGCTTCATATTACATTACGAAACACATGATCAAATAGTCATCAATGCACAAAGACCTCCATATCAACTCACTTTAGAGCATGTAATAAAGGCAAGCTGTCGGTTACACAACTAGCATGAAATAGTGAGGTATGAAAAGCACTGTTCCTTATCTGTATTTCTGTCTCTGTCTCAGCCCAGCACAGACAAAAATTGTGAAACACTGAAACACTTTTGTATAAATTTCAATGGTGAAAGTGCTTTAGCTGATTTGACTAGAGGACAGCAGAAGGAAAAAATAACAGACTGTAACACCCCCTATTGAATATGAGTCCAGCTTTAAAGGATATGCAGCTATGCCATGAATGAGAGTCTATTATGGCTCACAGAGAAGGTAGAAGAAATGGGAGATGTGCAACCTTGATTATCTCCTGTGTCACCTGAAATGTCCTGAATTCGATGAGATACTGTCTATGATTTTTGTTACGTCAGTTGAAAAGCCAGATGCTTCAAAAAAGCAGCAACATCACTGGTTACCATAGCAACAGAGACTTGAGCATGAAATACCAAAGACCTTTGTGAATGGATGCCTGAGCCTTGAAGGTTCAAGGGGTTAAAAAGTCATTGCCATGGGAACAGAGACCCATGCAGTGCCAGAGCAAGTCCCTGAACTGTGACACCAACCCTCTCTTGAAACCGAGCTCTATTAGAGATCCTTAATGGCCCTTTTGAGACCCCCCCCCCCCACCCCTAAGTGCTCCGGTAGGTCTTAATAATGTCTTTGATAGCTCTCCTACAGATAGGACAGCTAGCGTTGGTCATTTTTTTGAGGCGGAGACCGCAGGTGTAGCAGAGACACATGTGTCCGCAGGCGTAGATGACGGTGTCCACTGTGTTTTCATAGCAGATAGAACACTCGTCCGGCCATGAGCCTGAGGCAGATGGGAAAGTGGGGGATTTAGGGAGACTGACGGGTGAGTTGGATGTTGTTCCTGTGACAGAATGACAGAAAAAAAATTATTACCATTTATTAATTTATAACTATAGCAGTTACTCCAAGCACGTAGATCCCATAAGGCTTTCAAGACAACAAAGGATGCAGCAGTGCCATAAAAATGGTCCAAAATAATCCAAGTCTTCTAGGCCATAAGAAAGCTTTGTGTGAGAAAAAAATAAAAATACAGTGCCATCTTTATCATAAAATCTTAAAATTATTTTAACTTCATGCTTATAAATGACAAATGCTACTTAAAATAAAAAATGTGCACATTTGTGATTACCATTTATTAATTTATAACTATAGCAGTTACTCCAAGCACGTAGATCCCATAAGGCTTTCAAGACCACAAAGGATGCAGCAGTGCCATAAAAATGGTCCAAAATAATCCAAGTCTTCTAGGCCATAAGAAAGCTTTGTGTGAGAAAAAAAAAAAAAAATACAGTGCCATCTTTATCATAAAATCTTAAAATTATTTTAACTTCATGCTTATAAATGACAAATGCTACTTAAAATAAAAAATGTGCACATTTGTTTTTCCAGGAAATCCTAAAATGCAATATATGTATGAAAAGACATGCAGACCTTCAGTGGAGCTGCAGAAGGCAGCAGAACAGCCACGTTCATTGAGACTGGGCTCTGGACTTCCATTGCACAGGCCTGAGGGTGAAAGGGGCGAGGCAGAGGGTGAGCCAGGGCTGGACGGGTCACGAGCATCACCCAAGAAAGTGGAGCCTGAAAATACACGCAGTATATAGACATTTTTAATGTGATTCATTCAATTAATTTTGTTATAAATAATGTTAAATAACTATATGTAATTGGTTCACAGGGCCAAACGTTTGATTATGATTGTGATGGCACAAACTTTCCAGTGCAACCCTGTACCTTTAAACATGACTTCTGGCCTGTAGAACTGTGCTTACTGAGTCAGATATTGTGTAAAGCCAATCAAATCAGAGATTGCTGTAAAAAATTGTGTATGTTTTGTGTAATATATATCAGATGGTCAATGAACATTGATCATTTCAAAATGATCATTCAAGGAGCTGTAGCCTATATTAGAAACTTCAAAACTGTTATTGTAACTGTCACCCTCTTTTCAGAACTATATAGTATTTTGTAATGGCACAGATGCTGCATTTGTGAATGTTATGGGGTGCTTGTTTCACTAATCTAGGTACATTGTTCTGGCTGCAGGAGCTTAGGATGGAATCTGAGTCTGACACCTTTAAAGACAATGCTGGCCTGAGATTCGTTAACAGATCCGACACTCAGGCAACCAAACGAGAAAGCCACCTTGCATTTTAACTAACAGAACTAATCTATACAGCTTGAATAAAATGGAACAGCAATTTGCTCAGTGAGAGATCACCATTTGGAGCGTTTATTGATTTATTCACTGAACTGCAAATAAATTCAGCCAATTTACTGATTGGTTGCTCATATAGCAACATGTAGTGAAAAATACATATTCAGTTTTGTACAAAACAGTACTTTAATATAAGGAAAAAAAATGTTGATATGGATTGTTTTGTTACAATACATGATTAAATATGGTGTATGTGACCAATTATTGGAGGGGAGGGGATCTTTTTAAGTTCTAATAGAATTGTTAATGGAATCATTAGGAAAGTCATTAATTGGAATCTGAATCGGAACCAGATTAATTTCCTAACAGATTCCACCCCTAATTCTGGGGCTTTTAATGTAGTCTGTAGAGTTGAGACGGAATTAAATTGAAGAGACCTAATTTCTAGTATACTGGATCTTCTGACATATATGTGTATGTATATGAGAGGGAGAATTGGCTGAACTGAAACTAAGCTGACCTAAAACCCATGAATACATGATCCTCTGAGGCTAGTGTGTGTGTGTGTAGTGCGCATTTACTCTGGATGAGGTCTATGACAATATTAGATGCAGAGCTCGCAAAATTCCAAAATCCCTGGTAGCCCTTCGGGCAGGCATTCTTCAGATTTTGGTAGCCCAAAAATGAATTTAACTAGCCCAAATAAAATATATTGTATTTTTTCTTCAAATAACAAGTCAAGAGAGTAGGGGTGCAATGGATCACAAATCTCACGGTTCGGATTATATTACATTATCATATCACATTTTGAGTCACAGATCAGATCATTTTTCAGATGAGCAAAAAAAAATATGGTTCTTTATTATTTAAGTAACACTTATTATTTAAAGAACAATTTACTACTTCGATACCACAGAAAAAACTAATAGCATATAGGGATGTAACGATTCACTCACGATACTGATTTCACAATACAATTTTCTCACAATTTATTTTTTAACAAAATGAGATTTAAGACAGATTTGAAAAAAGGTGTCCTTTTGTTATTTCTCAGACCAAAAGGCTGCACACTACGTGAAATTGAAAACGTCAAACAGTATACTAACTTTAAATTTTAAAACAAATCCCAAATCAAATAAATACCGTATTGACCCGAATATAAGACGACCCCCCTTTTTTTTGGAAAAGCCCATCTGAATTAGGACATTTAGGCTATCCATCTAATAGTAGCCTACCAAAATCTTATTAACAGTAGAAGTTACATCTTACTGTAGTCAAATCTGTGTACTGTCTTACGTTTTAAAATCACAAATGGAGTTTGGTCCCATCAGGCTAACGTGACAGTCACGACTTGTGCAGCTGTAAAGTTTTCACAGCTGTAAGGTTTTCTTTTTCTTTTGTTTTTACTCACTATCTTTACAACATGCATTACATTACGTATTTCATGGCACACTTGTTTTATGTGTATTTGGCGCCACCTATTGTTGTGGGTGTATTATTGACATGTCAAAGTCTAGACCCTGAATATAAGACGACCGCGTTTTTTCAGATGTATTTCCAAGAAAAAAAACATTCTTATATTCGGGTCAATATGGTAAATAATACAAATAAAATAAATTTCTAAGGTTTTGCCTGTGTATTTTAATCATGATCCAAACAAAGATGCTGCATACATGTTATTTAGATTGTGAAATTTGAAACAAAAACAAAATGGTCTGACTTTAGCTTTGTGATACTACATGAAAAATCTGAACGAAACAAAAACGGCAGACGGCCTGAATGAGACTCAAATGTTACTCTCGACAGCAGGTGGCGCTTAAACAGCAGGTATTTATAGGCTGCTGCCCCTTTAAGACCGAACAGGGATCCAATTTAATGATGCACATGAAAGACATGAAAACACTTGCCGAGATAGTTATTTTGAGAATTTTGCGTGTATGTGTCTGTTCAAGCTAAAGAGGAATCAATTCTGTGTTCGTGCTCTGCCTGAAACGCCGCTCTGTGCGCGCTTTGAGCACTGAACTGAATTCTTCATGCGCATGAATGGTTTAAAACGCTTGAATGTTAAAATTGGTAAGACTTAGAAACACGTGTAAATTATAAACTATGATCCGTTTCACCCCTACAAGCGAGTGAACAACGCGAATCAAGGAAGGGATTTTATATCACTATTCAAGATAGTCTGTCAGGCAGGGCAGTGATACATTTTGGTAGCCCGACTGGAAAACACAATAGCCCCGGTGTTCTGTCGATTTGTGCTACCCTGTCAGATTTTGCTACCTCCCATTAAAACAGTGGGTAGTACAATTCGACAACGAAAAATGCTACCTGTAAAATTATGGTTTATTAACGTCTACACCTACCACAACCCTAAACCTACCCTTACAGTAATGCAAATACAGTAATTATGTGTTATATTCGCGGTTGTAGCTAGAAGGGATGCAGCTACAGGAGACCAACAATAAAAATTGTTTTCTACCTACTAGAATGTGTTTTATTAAAGTCTACAGCTACCCCAACCCTAAACCTACCCTTACAGTAATGCAGAATGCAGATACATTAAATATTGTTGTTCAGCATGAGAAAAAGGATGCAATATTGATGTGCGCATGAGCAGTAAACCCTGGTAGGACAATCCGGGTAGGATAAAAAACCCCGGGACGTCGGGCTAGCGATTTTGCGAGCCCTGAGATGGGAGTCAGTGAGATTCCACAAGGTCTTGTTTTAGGTCCGTCAGTGGTTTGATTTATATGTGTGTTTTTTGCTCACATTTTTGCATACAGTATGTTAGTCCTACAGCATGATCCTTTATTAAGATGGAGATGGGGTGAGAGGTTATATATGGGGTGGAGTCCACTGAGCATGATTCCACCTTCTTGTCATTCCACACATAGACATATCATAAATCCCCTTCTCTAGGTCTCAGCAACTGGTCCTGGATCACAAGGGCCAGGCCTCTTCAAGAGCGTCTCTACTAGATTAACAGGGACACAAGAACAGCTGAGTCTCTCTAACCTCCACCCGTAGATGGAGAGACTTAAAAAAAAAGAAAGTAGAGAAAGTCGGGCCTCTCTCAAGCCTTCTGTCATGCGTAAAATGAGCACTATGTGCCAACATGGCAGAAATGTTTTTCTGTATTTTGCATACCAAAGGGGTACTGACTAAACCAGCTTGCATGGTATAAACAGTCACATAGTTCATCTGTCAAATAAAGCTGTTTATGCTTAAGTAAAGGTGTGAGCTTCATATGTCTTCACATATGCCCTACGTTAGGGGTCTCAAACTGAAATAACTTGGGCGGTGCTCTGCATTCAGTATTGATTTGGTAAAGTAAGTGTCACTTTTATTCCATTTTATTTTATTTTGATTCCAGAACAAGTATATTTCATATGCACAGTATGCACTGTTGTTCAAAAGTCTCGTATGCTCACCAAGGCTGCATTTATTTGGTCAAAAATACAGTAAAAACAGAACATTAATATTGTAAAATATTACAATTTAAAGAAACTATTTCCTGTTTTAATATATTTTAAAATGTAAATTATTCCTGCTATGGCAAAGCTTAATTTCTAGCAGTCATTACTCCAGTCTTCAGTGTCACATGATTATAATATGCTAATTTGTTGCTCAAGAAGCATTTCCTGTTATTATCAGTGATGAAAGCAGGTGTGTTTCTGTTTTTCTGTTGACAAGTGTGACTTTTCCTGTCTCTGTCTTTAAACCAATCATATAGTGAGCTCTTACTGACGTCATGGGGAAAGCATACGTTGAATGATCAATTACTGTAACTAGCAGGCACCTGCAATAAACTTCTTTCTCGACTTTCTCCATCACTGGTGATGGAGAAATTCGAGAAAGAAGTAATTATGTCTATTATATGCATGTGTTTGTGCATTTCATTTATTAGCACTAGATTTAATTAGTGTTTGCAGGGTGGTGAAATCTAACCGACAGTCACTGCATGCATACGAACAGTCAATATTTGCATACTGAATTGTGATTCAGTCTTCTTCCTTGGATTTATTTGCATTCTGAATTGTGATTGGTCTTTCTGGCGGCTGTCTTTATTACACAGCTCTCTGGAATACTTGATTCTCCTGATCAATCATGGCATTTAGCATGATTGTATAATAAGCATTGTCTATGGCAACATATGGTAACACGGTTACAACGTTCACATCTCTAGTATCATTACGCCGTCTCTCTCTCTCTCTTTTTTTTTGCGAGGTATTATGCTAATTGGTGGCATTTTGCGAATCAAAAAGGTTATCTACTTACACATTAGTAATAATATATTGATTAATATTGTTATTTTTATTCTCTTAATTTACCTAGAACCAAAGTCTAAAACCTAAGATTACATAAAACCTTTTTCTTTTGCAGTTTTGCAAGCTCTGGTATTTCTTTCAGGTTTCCTCATTTTTCATGACTTCATTGTATATTCCCTCTGCCGTTACTGTTGAATGAGCACAATGAGACCATTTTCTAACAAGTAAATTGTTATTACAATGATTTTTTGAACCTTAAATCTTGAAAACAAAAACATTATGCTAAGAGGGGAAATAGGAATGAGAAATAGAGAAAAGAGATGTAAATGAGAGAAAGGTTCTCAAATGAATGTTCTCAAATGAAGTGTGAATCGCCCACTCTCCTCTTCACTTTCTCATTTCCTTTCCTTCACCGCATGCTAATGAGATGGGGTGAGCGCATTGGTGGAGGGAGGGGAACATGCTTCCAGCGACATCTTGGAGAGTGCATACAAAGCTAACAGAGGTCACAGCCCTCCCACACAAACTCCTGTAATACTTCCTGTTTTAGCTGTATATGTTTTCGTCTGCATGTCCTTTGTTTAGTTCAAACTTTATTGAGATCGTGTCAGTCACAGGTGTGTGGGTGAGACCTGGAGCACTGTCTGGTGTTCTGAAAGGTTACTGGAGTGTGCCTGCATTTTAGTTATCAACAAAATTCAAGTTTTGAAATTAATCTGTTGTTACCAATAATAGCAATGGCACAGTATTTTTTTTACATTGTATAACAAATGTCTTAATGATCATTTTAACATTTTTCTTGCTCTCACATTCATGCAAATTGCATTACAATGTTTCAGTGTAACCAAACTCTGACCACGTCCTACAGGTGTTCTCGGGTTCTGTACCCTAGTGCGGTCCCAGGTCCTCATGACAGCTTTCACATGACCAATTTTTAATGTGAACCATGCCCTGTTTTGAACTAAACTGCCTGTGTGAAAGCACCTTAAGTTTGTTTTTTGAAAGTCGGACTAACACACCTAGATAATGCAGATTTGACTTGCTTACCTAGAATCCTCAGCTGCGTGACAGCACCATGCAGTCCAAAGAACATCCAGAGTGGTCGTGAGTTGTCCACACACACCTGCATCCCCACATTGTTACCATTATGACTCAGAATGACTTCCCCTTCCTGTGTGACCAGGAAACCCAGGATATCGCCACTCTGCAAAGCAGTAGGCACCCTGCACACCGCCCAGAATTCCTTACGGTCAACCAGCGCTTCAGGATTGTAAGGGAGGTCACTAGGGCGAAGCACTGCTGGGTCACAGGATGTCACACCGTATGAGAGAGTCCCAGATCGAGCAGGGCTGGACTTAATGACTTTGATGAAGATGGTTTCACCAATTCGTAGTGGGCGATCTGTGAAGACCAGTGTGCGTTCTTCACGGTTGTGTTCAGATCGGGCCACAGTCTGTTCGTTAAGGGTTTTGATGTTGGCACCTCGTAGCTGGTGGAAACGTAGGTCACATTCCAAGGTGTGTGGAAGCAGTGATGACTGCTGGGAGTTCATGGAATTTTGAGGAATGGGACAGGCGACGGGGGCGGGAGGGAGTCGAAGCCTGGCATCATCTTGTTGCAGGTTAAGATCGCAAAGACTGACAGACAGGCGGGAGGTGTCTGCTTCACGTCGTAAAGAGGTGGATCCACGTACTGTGGTGAAGGATCGTGGGCGGAGAAGGTCTGGAGGGACGACTTCACTGTCTGTGGGACAAAAGTGGGATACACAGTTAGCTATCAGTTGTCAGATTAGCTATTTGTATTATACAGTATGGTTTTATTAAATGGTAGATCCTAGATAATCAACAACTATTGGGCAGTTAATCAATCCTACTGAATTTACTGTCTATCATACTGGAAAAAAAAAAGAAAAAAAATGTTTGCCGTGGGCCCTGGCTCAACTGTTTTAAAGGGTTTGTTTAGGCCAGGGGTGCCCAAACTCGTTCCTGGAGGGCCGGTGTCCTGCACAGTTTAGCTCCAACTTGCCTCAACACACCTGCTGGTAAGTTTCTAGTATGCCTATAAGAGCTTGATTAGCTGGTTCAGGTGTGTTTAATTGGGGTTGGAGCTAAACTCTGCAGGACAACGGCCATCCAGGACCGAGTTTGGGCACCCCTGGTTTAGGCATTTGTAAACTGTCCAGCCTGGGAGACCAAGTGAACACCAGCTTGACCAGGCTGGGAGACCAGCTAGATCCCTTTAGTCTGGTTTGCTCTTTTTTATGCTCTTTTATTTATTTAGTTTTTGTTTTTTACAAAATCTTCCTACAAAGATCTAACTTGAGTCCTACTGTTCACATATCTGGATCAGTACAGTATGCATACAGTACAAGTGAATTCAAGACAGCTAGTGTACATGTAACGCACTACTATTTTACATAACAGCTAAAGTTGTTTCCAAAATGGCTGCCAGGGAGTGTCTCTTTACAGTCTTTACCATTTATACCAGTTACTCATTGGCTGCCAGGAATAGAACTTTATAGTAATGTAATAGTAGGCTAGCATAGTACTATAAGCACAACATACCCACTGCTCCTTGCCCATTTGCCAAAAATAGTGCAAAATATGAATGAAATGCTGTGCTAGCAAAGTGTTTGTGTACACCGAATTTAATTCCCCACTCCTAGTAGCCTAAAATAGCGTATTACGGTAGTTTAGAGGTAGGCTAACTTAGTTTATCATAGCTCAGCACTCAAACCAGCTGACTCCTTTTGTAACTGATAGCCCCGCTGGAGTGTACCCTGTATTTAGACCTCATCTGTGCACACAGTGAGGAGATCCTGAGGCCCATTGTTGTGCCATCACCTCATGTTACAGCATTATAATGCACGGCCCCATGTTGCAAGGATCTGTACACAATTCCTGGAAGCTGAAAACATCCCAGTTCTTGCATGGCCAGCATACTCACCGGACATGTCACCCATTGAGCATGTTTGGGATGCTCTGGATCGGCGTATACGACAGTGTGTTCCAGTTCCTGCCAATATCCAGCAACTTCGCACAGCCATTGAAGAGGAGTGGACCAACATTCCACAGGCCACAATCAACAACCTGATCAGCTCTATGCGAAGGAGATGTGTTGCACTGCGAGAGGCAAATGGTGGTTACACCAGATACAGACTGGTTTTCGGACCCCCCAATACAGTAAAACCGCACATTTTAGAGTGGCCTTTTATTGTGGCCAGCCTAAGGCACACCTGTGCAATAATCATGCTGTCTAATCAGCAACTTGCTATGCCACACCTGTGAGGTGGATGGATTATCGCGTCAAAGGAGAAGTGCTCACTAACACAGATTTAAACAGATTTGTGAACAATATTTATATATATATAGGGACAGTTTTCTAACCATATAAAAATAATTTACGTATTTAAATAATAGGCTCCAGCCTTCCTGTGACCCTAGAGAAGATAAGAGGTTTGAAGAATGGCTGGATGGGTATTTTAATATTTTGATATCTACTTTGTGCGATATTTGTTTACAAAGTTTATTGTGAATAAAGGACACTATAAGGTGCTTTGCATTAGCATCCTCACAGCAGTGTTGGTTTGAAAGGCAGAGAAAGAGATGGTTAAACACAAGGAAATGACTAGAAGATTAAAAAAAAAATGTGGAGGTCAAGATGTGTGATAAATAAGTGTGAAAATTGTCTATGTATCGACAATGACCCACAGAGACTGTTGATTAGCTCTCGTCTCCGATAAACCCTCTTAGATCATTACAATATGTGTGAGTGGCTCAGCAAACAACAGCGAAAGAGAAAAAGCAGTTCTCCAACCCTCTATATTTAGTTCTAAAGGACATAACTCATTTCCATCAGGATGAAGGACGCAAGATGGTTTGCTTAGAGATTAATCCCTAAAATACAAGGCTAACAGGTCAGCAAATGACTTATTCCCTAATTATATGCAAGGCTACTGTGCAAACAGAATGGAGCAATATCTGTGACACAACTGTTTTACGATGCTGTAGCATTGGTAATGCAAATAAGTTAATATATATGTTAATGTTATCTGTTAAAATATATATGTTAATGTTCATATATATATATATATTATATAATATAACTCAATATAATTATCTCTTGTTAATTTAAAACATTTTCAAATGTATATCTTGTATGTGTATATGTATTGGTAGGCTATATGTAGAAATGAGCATATAAATATATACTCTAAAAGTAATGTTCATTGTCCTTTCATGTTGGCTATTATAATAATGTTAACGCATAGGTTCTGTTTGTAAAGTGTTGCTTCTCTTTTTTGCTCCTCCTGCTTATGATCCATTGTCTGATATTTGACATTTTCTGACTTTTAAGATCTAGCTGAGATAGATTTGCACACAGAAAATCTGCCTGCCGCATCAGGTGCTCTGAACTGCAAATCAGTCTCCCAACATAAGGACTTAATTTTCCTTATTGATCCTTTAAAAAAACATTTTCTAAGAGATTCAAAGTGTCTTGTGTGGTAGTCTGTACTAATTAGTGAAATATTAAACACTCCTACGGAGAACAAGGGGTTGGCCCAGAGGCACTAACTCTAACTCAACTACAAAATTATAAAAGGCAAGATGGAGATACATTTTAACTTGTTAGAGTCATTTATGGACAAGAAGAAGAAAAAATAATAAAGTCACAAGAGATAATGAAGACAATTTAAATAGGAGCAGGATATTTAAAAAAAATTCTAGTATCTCTCTGGTGGCCTAGTATCTGGAGTATCTTTAAAGATTAATTCACCCAATAACTAAAATGAAAATTATTAACTTTTCTTTGTCAATCCAAACTGACTTCCTTTCTTCCAAATATATGCATTTTGAAGAATGTTCACACTGCTTGTTCACCATTTAAAAAAAGTATATGATCAGGTGCTGTCAAGTTCCTTGATCTCTGCCATAGCTTTCAGATTGTATTGTTGATCGCACATATTCAAACTTGCCACAAAAAGGAACTGGTGTTAAGGACTGATGAAACGCTTTTAAGGTGCCTTCTTTATTTATTTATTTTTTAATCCTCATCCAGCTTATCCAATTGTTTATCCCAGGGTTCTCAACTCTGGCCCTCGAGGTCCACTTAGCTTAGCTCCAACCTTGATCAAACTCAACTGCCAGTAACTTTCTAGTGATCCTGAAGACCTTGATTAGCTTGTTCAGGTGTGTTTGATTAGGGTTGGAGTTAAACTCTGCAGGAAAGTGGACCTCGAGGGCCAGAGTTGAGATCCCCTGGTTTACCCATTATTAATGGTCAGCTTCCAAGTGGTTCCCAATCCTGATCCTGGAGTATGCCCAACTCTGCACATTTTGTTTGTCTCCTTAATAAAACACTTGATTCAATTTATCGGCTCATTAGTAATGACTTCAAGACCTGTAATGGTTGTGTCAGATGAGAGAAACATCCAAAATGTGAATTGTTGAGGTACTCCAGGACCAGGTTTAGGAACTACTGCATTATATTAAATATACCAGCATAGACATTCATCAAAACATCTTTCATAAGGTTTGGGGTCAACATGAGGGTGAGTAAATTACGACAGAATATTTCATTTTTGGATGGACTGCCACTTTAAATTCACAGTTAAAATGGACATACAGCTGAACCCACTCAGTTGGATCGGGCAGAGAAGCGGGTAATGACATCACCAAGGCAGGTCTGGCTGGAGTGTGTTTCTTAGATGAGGCTCATTAGAGTAAAGCCATGCTGTAAACAGGATTAATCCAGGCTTCAGTGTCCCTCACTGCCCTAGACCTGGAGGCACTGATGCAAGCCTAGAATCTAGTTTGAACAGACATGATGCTTCTCTCTGGATAAATCATTTTTTTTGTGAGCAAAACATTTATAGGATGCTTTTGGATGGATGTTATCCATCTATTCCTATGATGTCCATCCCTGTCTCATCATGTTCCTATCTTTTTTTTTTCCAAGCTGATCTTAATGGGATCATATTTCCAAACTGATCTTAATGGGATCATACAATTGTGGGATCTGTACTCTCAGGATTCTGACTGATAACTGTGAAATAATGCTTCAGATGTGCAAAAAAGACACTTTCAGGCAGAAATACATTGATATAATCAGTTTTACAGTGACTATCTACATTCACACAGTCATTGTTTGGGATGGATAATCATATTTATTAAAATATGTGGTTTGAATACTTGTTGAATGAATAAACAAATTCAAACCTTTTTCAGTTCTCGTGAATGTCATCAAAGATGACATTTATACAGTCATCTAGTTTACTTCATTTATATAGTTTTTAGTTGTATTTCGATTTTTTTTTTCTCAATTTGTCCATTTAGTTTGTTGTTGTTTTGTTTTTTTTAAGTATAGAATAATGTCATGAAAATGTATTTTAGGTCAGATTCAGGTTTTTAAATTTTATGTTAGTTTTCATTTTTATTTGAGTTAACAAAAATGTTTTAATTTAGCTGTTGTGAACCGACAATGAGCATCAAATAATGGCAGCATGCAGAAGCACATAACACGGTCTATAGGATGCTGAGTTCTTGAGCCTAGTTGTCAATGCAGGTTCTATATAACTGAGACACAAATAGTCTTTGTCAGTCATGACAGGACGTCTGATAAAGCTGGCTTAAATCTGTCTGCTTTGACCATTCGTCAACAGACTCTTCAAAAAAGGCGTTAGAACGCCTGAAGGTTTGCTTACAGTTTCCATTAGATATTCTCCATTTTGGCGAACAAGTGAGTGCTAATTACTCAATAGACTCGTTGAGCCACTCTGAGGGAGCACAGACATCGACTGCACGCTTGGAGTGGAAAGCTTAAAGGAAAGGAGATGGAAAAACCGAGGGAGGGGCAAAGACGAGAGCGTTTGTGCCAAGATGTCTGTGACCGGTGGCAGCAGCTGCCCCTCTAATTACCCTGCACCTGCTTAGCTGCCAATCCTCACATTTCCTTTGTCTTATTGGCAGCTTTCACACAAGCCCCGGCTATTCTACAATATGACTGGCTGAGACCAGAATGTAATCTCTTTGAAAATATAAATCTCTGAATCCAGGCTTGCACATAAATGCCCAATTTTAGTGATGGGACGCAGCTGCGCTGACCAAAAGCAAACACCCATTTTGATTGTCCTTTTTTGTCTAAGGTGCTTTTTCTATTTAGCACCAGGCTCCAGCACCTGTTGGGCTAAACACAAAAGGCTGTGGAAAATAAGCAGATGAGGTTTCTGATAAACAAAAGCGGCTCTTGGTTCAGTCAGAAAGAGCCTGGATGGGAATGAAATGACCAAAAATGGAAGTGCACGTTCTTTGCTTGGTTTTACTTTGAGGCACTGTATAAGGTTGTTCTTATCGGTTTTTCATTTTTTCTTTTTTGTCGTTTTATCTTCTAGTATACAAGTAACTAGGTCTCTTTTTGTGTATAACTTTTTCCCATTTTAATGAAAGGAAAATTTTAGTTCTGTCTCACAAAGCTCAAGATTGTATCCAAGTTTGATAGAAGTTCAATGTGAACAAAAAACTAGGAAGAGAGTGTGGGGCTCGCATGGCAGTGCGACGCTAATGCATATGGTACATGTAAGTGTGTGTTTGAGGGAAACAGTAGGGGGAGACAGGAGAGGTTTCAGCACAGCTTGTTGGCTCTATGCCATGCTTGGCTGTTGGGTCTCTTTGTTTGGAATAATGGCCACACAGGCAACACGTGGACCTATTGACAAATGATCTCTGGGTCACAAACCTCCTTCCCTGAGGTCATTTCTCACTTTCTTTCTCTGAAACACACACATACACAGCCAAGTACGCTCCGAAAGCCACAAAAGACCCTCCGTGTGGCTCATATCCAAATTTTAGTCAGGCAAACCATGGTTTCCTTGCCTCATGTCTGAAGTCAACACGGAATCCAAATTGACCCATTTTATTTTTATAATACACGTTCTTGGTCTTACTGTGAACGATTCATTGGTGAAGCTTATTCTGAAGAAATACAACATTTGTCTTGATAATCTTTGATCCCATTTTTTGCATCCTGACATCCTTTTTTTTTTCAATCCACAAAAAGTAAAATGGCTAGGCTGATGATGGACCCATTATGTTACGTTGACAGTTTGAGGCTTTTTTTTCTTTTCTCATTTGTATCACCCATTTAATTTAACCCAGCAGATAGGAGACATACTGAAATTTTGCACCAGGACTCTGACCAAGGAAACATGAGAAGGTCTGTGTAGTCCTAAATATGTGGATGTTTATCTAGTGGTCTATAAACTGATGTTTGCCCAGAACTCCCTCAAAGAGGCCCTGAAGAGCTCTGCCTATATATAAGACAGCCACACCTTATCTCGGCAGCACTGTCCATGTTTGGATGTCCCGAGGCCTTTGCATGAGCAAAATGAAGGAAAAGTGGAGTTCTAAGTTTGGAGAAGGGATACAAGGACACTTAACAGCAGGAAAAGGAAGGTGTTCTGTTTTGGGATGGGTCACGCTACACTTTCCCGCCACCTTGAGCACTCTTCACAGAACTTCCTGTGTAGGTTCGAGCTCTTAAAAACAGAATCTGACCTCTTGAAAAGCATTTCTTCACTATTTTCCCCCCTCTTTGGACTCAAAACATAAATACTGTTAAATAGCCAAATGCTGCAACATCTGTTATTCTAATTTCTTTAATTTGTTCCCCCCCAAAGCAATTGGCCAGCCAAACAAATGCAATTACTTCTGTTAATACCCATTATGTGAGCTAGCAAACAACCCATCAGTCTCGCTAAATCACTTTTTCTGGCTGAATTAGTTAAATAGTCCATATTTAAGATATTATTTTTGATGAATTATGCGCTCAGCAGGGGACTTTCAATTAGGGATATTGGCCTGGAATGGCCCGCCGTAGCCAAGTCAAACTTGCACCTCAATCAAATAAATCGTGAGAATCAGTCATATTTCTCAATGAACATTATAGAAGTGGTCCAAGTGGGTCAACACAGAAGAAAACCCTGTGGTGATGCGCATGTACGGTTTGTGTCAAGCCATTCATTAGTCTAGTTGTTTAACGAGAAAGAGATTAATTGTATTTGCAATAAACACTTTTAAAATGGTTTGATCTTTGGTTGACCAGTTACGTGGAAATGTAATATTTAAACTGTTTATCCATTTTCTACCCCTGAACTTAAAAATGAAGAATGAAGCCGTTTTATTATTTAAAAAATAACGCTCTTTCTTACTCTTTCTTTTAGTAGTATTAAAGAAAAACAAATGAACGCAAAGTACATGCATGGACCTATTTGCAAACTTAAATCGCATTCTCACTTTTGAGCACATTTTTGATAAAGGAAAATGAGGAATCTCATACCTCTTGAAATGCATTTAATTTGAGGTATTATTATTTATTAAATAATATAATTACTACCTGGTCTCATGGCATAAACGTACCTGGGGGCACTTTTTAGCGAGACGCGAAGTGCGTACCAATAAGTACATATCACTGCAGTTTCCAAAATAAATGAACACTAGAGGCAGTAAAACTCCGACACCTTTTATTCCTTTTCACACAAATTGACAGCGTTTCGATTAATAAAGTGTAATTTTCGCACAATTACTTGAAGAATATTATGACTTCAAAACAAATTTAATATGCTGGGAGATTTGAAAACTGATGTTTTTGAACGTTAGCATCGCACATATCCAGCTTCATATCTATGGGTTTTCATAGATACACACCAGCATAATGGGCATGCTATGCAGGTACCTCAAATGATCTCAATCATTAGTGAAAGCTGTGCAGTTAGTGTGGGTGTGTGCATTTGTTATTGTGGACAATGTGTTACCGTGTGTGTGTTTCAAACTCACAGGTGCATGAGAAAATGTCATGTATTTAAGCTCGAGCCACTCAAAACAAAGTTTCACAAGATAAGAACGGCTAAAATTACAAGGAAGAATTTATGGCATCCGTACAAATGGACCATAGAGCGTTCAAATTCATCTTCAAACCTCATTTTGCAAATGGTTTACAAATGTTTCTTCCAATTTAGACCAGTTTTTCCATCCCCAATCAAAGCTGTATTTATTTAGCACATGAATTGAGAAAAAAAGGAAAACGTTTCTTTCTTTGTTTTTCTTCTCTAATGCGACATTTCTGAGTGAGAATTGATATTCAACAAGAAAAATGTAGGTCAGGACTTTTATCCACTGGGAGTTTCATCCATCGAGAAAAGTGGGCGTTCTAGACCCAATTTTGCGTTTGCATTTGGTTGCGTAGGCCAACCCCCCTCTTGAAACACTGCTGGGAGCCACTTTTAAAGCTTGGATTGATTCGAGACGGGTCCTTAGAAGTAAAGCCCAGGCGGAGAGCACCACTCCAGCAGCATTGCTTTTTAGTTATCTAAAGACAGAAAAATGGATCTGCTATCATTACAACATACGAAAGTGTTCATTATGAGTCACTGCACAGCATATAAATGTTTACTCTCAGAAACCAATGTGTAAAAATCTGTACCATTAGGGGTACAACAACTTGTCACTAGTTCCCTCAAAGGGGCATCTTTGTATCTTATTTACCCCTAAAGGCTTGAAATAGTACCTTAAGGGTATGTATTTACTACTTAAATGCAACTAATATGCACCTTTTGGGGTTGATAAGATACAAAATTGTCCATTTAAGGCGACAAGCTGTTGTACCACTACAACTTTTGCACATTTTTCTGACTGTTTAGAAATTATAATTTTGCTTTATAATATATATATATATATATATATATATATATATATATATATATTCTATACATATACTATTTTTTA